ATGTTACAGGGTCAATCGAATAGTTATGTTGTGGAACCGCAAGGTGGACACATTTCTATGTTTATAATTACTAAACTATATGTTCATTATTATAAAGCTATATATTCATAATTTTTGAACTTCATATTCATAAGTACGTATTTAACTCTATATTTATAATTACAGAACTCTATGTTCATAGTTACTGAACTATATGTTCATAATTATAAAGATATATATGCATAATTTTTAACTTCATATTCACAATTATTGAATCTCTATATTCATAATTACATAACTATATGTTCATAATTATGTTCACAACACTATGTTCATAATTATAGAACTATATGCTCATAATTTTTGAACTATATATTAATAATTATGAACAATTTTTGAAATGTGTCTACATTGCAAGGTGGACACATATCCACAACATAATTTGTCAGGTTAATAGTAGTATAGTACTAAAATTATTAAAAAAAAAAAAAAAAAGAAGAAGTCTTTGGACTTCTCAATACTTGCCCATATTGATGGGCAAGCAATTATATGTTTGTAAATGCCCCTCTTATATAGAGGAGTTTAAGAGCTCATCTTTTCAAACATTTTCAATGTGGAATCAAAATGATCCCACATCATTTACAAAGGGGAGCCACCATTGTCTTCTTCCTATTTTTTTTTTTTAATTTTAAATTTATTTTGTATATAGTTTTGTTTGGATTATTACATTTGTTGTTGTTGTTATTATTATTATTATTGTTATGTTATTATTATTGTTATTATTTTAATTTTAATTTTATTTTATTATTATTACATTATTACATAGGATTTTTATTATACTTGAACAATAATATTATCAATTATATTATAGAATATAATACCATACATAATGTTACCAATTATGTAATATTACCAATTAATAGATTTTATTTAATTTCCATTTGACATTTACTTACCAAATAAGCTTTACTACAAAAGTTTGGGCGGGAAAATGAAATAGGATGATTTTGTTGTTGTTTTTTTTTTTTTTTGAAAAGGGATGATTTTGTTTTTATATAATATATATATATATATATATATATATATATATATATATATATATATATAGATTAATTATTACCCTAATACTTAATTTATAATTCTGATTTTAAAATTCTTCTTATTATTATTAACATTAACATTTGATTAATTTTATAAAAAAATGTAAATTCTAAATTTTGTATGAATAAATTTAAACTCTAATCCGACGCATTTCCTTATATGATTGTATAATTCATTGTATATACACATAATATTTATTAATATGTATATAGAAAAGTTCTATAATATAATTTCATTAACTATCATTTATATTGATAGATTTATAATTAAAAAATTACATTTAAAAATTTAAAAAGTTGCATTTAAATTTTGCATGATTATTATAGTGCATAATTGTATGTATGATTATAAATATTCATGTTTTGTTAATTTAATAATTTCATTTCTTTAATTATATTTCATATTTTATTAATTGTAATTTAATGAAATTGTTACAAATATTTCTAGGGAAGAAATCTTATATTTCTCAATTTCTTTAAATATATTAATTATAATTACCAAATATTGTGGCAATTACCATAATAATTTCATTAATTATATTACTTATATTAATTATAATATTTGTAATAATCTCTTCCAAAATTTAAATACATTACCATAATAATCACACAAAATAATGAAAGAAAAATTATCAAAATAATCACCTTTAATAAAAATAAGGTAATTATATTAAAAATTAATTATATATTAAGGTAAGTATAATTTATGTCATGTCAATAATATTATACATTAAGTATAAAAATATATATGTATATAAATTACCATAATAATTACACCAAAAAGGTAACAATATATAATTATTAGGTAATAATATTAATAATTAATTATTAAGGTAAGTATAATTTATTAAAGAGGGTATATAATTTAAAAAGTAAATTATTTATTAGATTACCTAATATAATTATCTTACTAATTGATTCCATGCTACTATGTATAATTCATATATTTGAAAACTTTTTAAATCAAAATATCTATTAATTACCTTAATAATTAAAATAATTGTTAGTCAATCAATTTTCAATAGTACTAAAAGTATTATTTGAATTTTTATACAAAAGATATAATATTATTAAATCTAAATAATTAAAAATAATGTGTCCACATTACAAAAGATTTTATAATAGTAATTTTTATTGCATAATAGAATTTGGCAATTATTAAACATTGTTTACAATTATTAAACATTGTTTATGGTAATTATTGTATGACATTTAATACTAAAATTATTAGGTAGAACTTTTATAATTAAGGTATAATATTCTTAAGGTACAATATTGCTTGTATATGGTTTACCCGTATTAACCATCATTATATTAAATTAATATATAATTCTTTTAGTATAATATATTATTAAATCTAAACATATGATTAATATTTATTCAATATTATTACGGAAGTATTAGAATTATAAATTTTACTCCGTATTAAATTTTAAATGGCTTAGCATATCGAAGCAAATATGGTAAGTCAATAACATTATTTTACATTAGTAAAGTGATTTTACATTGGGGGGAATGTCAGATGAAGAATAAAATCAAAATAATACTCTATTAAAAAAAACCACAGTACTTAATCATTTTTTTTCTTAATAAAAAATTTTAATGGCAAGAAAAACGTCTTGAAGGGAGAGACAAACTACTCTCTTATTACAAAAATGTACACTTTAAAGACGGAGAAATTGAATTGAAACAAAGTCCAACGCTTTGATCTATTGACAACTAAAAAATGCTTTTAATTTCATTTTGGTTTTTATTGTATTCTTAGTATGCTTCCCTCTGTAAGTCTATATCTATTTACATATACACATAATTCGTCCCTCGATCACAAAACTTTATCATCTTGATGAGCAAGGAACTCTATTGCTTCCCGATCAATCTTTCTAGATCCGTATCTTCTCCACAAAAATAGACAAACAAAAAATATATATATCAACATTTTTTCTTATGAACCACTTTTGTTGTTTAAAAACCATAAAATACAAAAAATAAAAATAAAAACAAAACAAAACCCAAAAAGAAGAAAAAATAAAAGAAACTAAGATGATGAAAACCTCACCAATGCAAATCACGTATCAACCTCAACTGTGGAAGATTACAGGATGATTAGAAGTCTATTGCTTCCCGATCAATCTTTCTAGATCCGTATCTTCTCCACAAAAATAGACCAAAAAAAAAGAATATATCAACATTTTTTTTACGAACCACTTTTGTTGTTTAAAAATCAGAAAATACAAAAAAAAATAAAAACAGAACAAAACCCAAAAAGAAGAAAAAATAAAAGAAACTAAGAATGAAAACATCACCCGTGCAAATCACGTATCAACCTCAACTGTGGAAGATCACAGGATGATTAGCAAAAATCAATGAAATAATTAACCTTAGTTGGGGTTGTGTATGGTCATATAAGGTGTATTTATACACAATGGATGAGATCAAAAGGGTTTAGTATTGAAATTATAAAATGGTAAGAGATCTCAAGAAAGGTAAAATCTTTAATATTATTGAAATGCCATATTTGTCTAAATATTTGATATTACAAAAATGCCTCTAAGTTTTGGGGGGAAAACTTGGCTAGGAGGATTTTACTTTTATATATATATAGATTATAGTATACTCTGGAATGGCAAGGTTTGTCTAGTATATGTCACGATATTTTGTTCATGGTAATAAATATTAGGAAAAATGTTAAATTAGCCCCTTAAATCGAGTGGATAGTGTAATTGGGCTCTCTAATTTTTTTTTTTTAAAGTTTCATTTAAGTGTCTTAAATCGGTAAAATTGTTCAATTAAGTCTAACATTACTTGTTTATCAAGTTAAACATATAATGTATTGACACGTGTCGTTTTTATTTTATTTTATTTTTAAAACAAATGTTTTTTTATTTCTTAAAATTAAAAATATTATTTATTATAAATAAATTAATTAATTAAAAAAAAGTCACCGGCTGTCCGACGCGGACAACGGTTGGCTGTTTATTTATTTATAATAAATAATATTTTAAGTTTAATAAATAAAAAACATTTGTTTTAAAAAATAAAATAAAATAAAAAAGACATGTGTCAACACCGCATAGGTTTAACCTGATAAACAAGTTAATTTGGACTTAATTGAACAATTTTACCGGTTTAGGAGACTTGAATGATTTTTTTTTTATTTGTTACTTAAGAAATTCAATTCCACTATCGACTCGACTTAGGGAGGCAATTTGACACTTTTCCCTAAAAAATGATGATGAAGACCCGAAGAGGAGCCGGCTAGGTTATGGGTGAAAATGAATATAATTTGTATATTAACGGAGAATATAATTTTAAACGGAAAAATTGACCGTGCATGGGTATTTAAGGAAGGGAAATCATATAATTAAAGATAAATTTAAAAATCTCAATAAAAATTATAATCTGAACAATTTAAACCATTCATTTCATTTAATAATTTGACGAACATTTTTTTTATTACTCATTATATAATATATACCTAACTTTATTGGCTGAGAAATAGATAGATAGAGATAGATAGTAGATAGAGTATATATAGACTATATAGTAGATAATTAACTAAAACTTAATAACTACGACTTATAATCAGTATAATTAATAATCATTAAGATCTTATTAAATATATATGCTAATAATTAGCTACATCATAGGAGGGCATTATTTGCATATGTTGAGCATAAATTGGGACAGAGGTTTGGATCATGGAACAAGAAGTTGCTGTCTAAGGCTGGGAAAGAGGTGCTCTTGAGGAGTGTAGCGCAGGCAATGCACACCTATACAATGAGTATTTATTTACTACCTACGACTTTGTGTATTGCCCTTGAAAGATTGATGAACAGGTACTGGTGGGGTCAGGGTGGCTCGCAGGGAAGTATACACTGGATGTCCTGGGATCGTGTGTGCGTCCCTAAGAAGTTTTGAGGTATGGGTTTTAAACGATTACATGAGTTTAATATTGCACTGTTAGCCAAGCAGGGGTGGCGGCTTTTAACCAGTCTGGAGTCCCTTGTGGCTCGTGTATTTAAGGCCAGGTACTATTCTACTTCCTCGTTTTATGAAGCCACAATTGGGGGTAACCCGAGTTATGCGTGGAGGAGTATTTTAGCAGGTCAGGCTTTGCTAAAGGCGGGTTGCAGGCGCAGGATTGGTAATGGTAGGTCCACCAGAGTTGTTAATCATCCGTGGCTGCCTGATGTTGTTGATCCCTATGTAGTCTCAAACCATCCAGGTTTGGGGCAGGAGCTTCTGGTTTCGGACCTGATTGATAGTACCACCAATGGGTGGAATAATAACCTGCTGGATGAGTTGTTTGCCCCACGAGATGTTTTGTTGATTAAGCAGCTTCCTGTGAATTTGAATTGTGATGATGTCTGGTTTTGGGACAGGGATCTGAGGGGTTGCTACTCGGTTAAAGATGGCTACAGGAGGATGGGAGAGGTCAACGGCCCGTGTTTGCCTGCATGGAATAATTTATGGAGTTTACAGGTCCCCCCTAGATGGAGGATATTTATGTGGAGAGCTTTGTCTAACATTCTGCCCACTCTTGATAATTTGCTTAATAGAAGAGTAGAGTTGATTAATATATGCCCAGCGTGTGGTGTGGGGGAGGAGAACATCATGCATGCTTTATGTACTTGCCCTTTTGCTTCACAAGTGTGGAATTTGTCACATCTGCTAATACCTTCTTTTGATAACAGGAATTTCGGCCAATGGACTGATCTTTGGCTTGGTAGCACAAGTACTTATAGTGCTGAGGCACGAGGAAGGATTTGTGACTTGTTATATGACATTTGGGCTGCAAGGAATGAGGTAGTTTGGAATGGTTGTTTGCCTATGCCGTGTATGGTGGTCAGGAGGTTCACAGTGAAGTGGATTTCTTGGACTACTGTGGAACACCAAAGGGGAATCACGCGCAGAGCCCATGATGGTCCCAGTTCGGCTGCTTTGTTGGATGATGGTGTGGTCTGTCATGTTGATGCAGGCTTCAATGGGCCGACACAGGTGCCGGCATACGGTTTTGTAGTGCATGAGTTGGATGGAACTTTTGTGGCGGCAAGAAATGGCCCTCTTAATTGCCCATATGACCCCCTCTTGGCGGAAGCAATGGCTATGTGTGAGGCGTTATCATGGCTCAGGGAGAATGGATACTCGAGGATCTCAGTGTGCTCCAATAGTCTTGTCTTAGTTTCTAGTCTTAAGCATGCAAGTTCATTTCGTACTTATTTTGCTTATTATTTGTTAGCTTGCAATCGTTTGTTATCTTCTATGGCTAGATCAGTTGTTATTCATGTTCGTAGGGATGTTTTACAGGATGCCCATGTTATGGCTAAGCATGTAACTACCTCTCTGGTGCGAACTATCTGGAGGGATTTACCCCCTTCTTTTCTTGAGCCTAGAATGGCTAATGCAGTATAAGTTTGTTGGCTTTCAAAAAAAAAAAAAAATTAGCTACATCATAATCATAATAAATCGTATATAATAAAATAGTAAATCTAAAAAAATGAAATAACTAACGGGGTGTATTCAGTCATGACTTTCATAGAGTTTTAAATACTTTTATAAACTTTAAAAGTTTGGAGGTATTCTATTCAAACTTTTAGAGGGTCTTTAAAAGTCTGCCGGTATTCAATCAAAATTTTTAAAGAGTTTTTAAAAGTCGTGTGGTATTCGATTGGGACTTTTAAAGAGTCTTTAAAAGTCATGTGGTATTTAAAAAGTTATGAACTTTTGTAGACTTTTTAATTTTAAGACTTTTGTAAATTTTCCCTTCTCAAATATAAATAATTGAAATCTAACCATCAACCCCAAGATTTCAAATTTTCTTTCTAAAAACTTTGAATGTTTTCCCTCTCTATTTAAACTCTATTTTATCTCCCTATTTAAACTCTATAAACCTATCTAAATTCAATAAAATTATTTGTTCTTCATTATCCTATATTTTCCTCATACTTAAACTCTACCAATTTTTCTCTCCCTCCTAAACTTTAGAATCTTCATCTAAAAATTCAAAATAATATTATTTTTAATTCATTATTGCTTGTTTATATTGATTTTTATTGTTTTCAATGAATTTTTTTATCTCTAACTTTCTATAATTATTCCTAAATAGATGAACAAAGCAAATTTTTTATGGTCAAATTTTGTATATGTTTCATAATATTCATATGAATACTTATATATTTTGATTTTTATTCTTTTTATGTTTATATTCGTAATATATATTTTTCATTTTTTTTAACAACAGGTTACTACGAATAGCGAATTAATGTTCGCAACTAAATTTTGGGGTTGCAAACAGTAGCACCTTGTTGTTGTTTGCAGTCTCAAATTGCTATTGCAAATAATAGTTCTTTGCGTGATACCTAGCAATATATCAAGTATAATTATATATATATTATTAATATTAGATTTTTACTTTTTAATTTTATGCAACTTATAATTATTTTTTTAAATATTTTATTTGATGAAGTCTTTTATTATAAATTTTATGGTTCAATATTGTTATGAATTTATAATGAAATAGTTTTTTTTTTGTTGATGTCTATTAATAATATATATATAAGTAATTAGCATATAAGTTTCAGCATACTATGGATAAAAATAATAATGTTGAGAATGTTGATGTGAGTGAAGAACTATATAATAAGAAGAATTTTATGATATATTATAAAGAGTAAATACCCAAAATAGTCCCTCGACTATAGCTAAATTCACAAATTGGTCATTGACTTTCAATTTCAGCCAATTAAGTCCTTAACTTTGTAATTTTGACACGATTTGGTCCTCCATCTATTTGACCGTTTGATGACTGAGATCAACGATCTCCAGCAGAACCTTCAGCTCTCATCGGAGCACGTGGAGGCCTCTAGGATGACGTTGCACTGGTTCGGAAACACGTCGTCTTCTTCGCTCTAGTACGAACTCAATTACATTGAATCCAAAGGGAGGATGAAGAAAGGCGACCGGGTTTGGTAGATTGCTTTCGGTAGTGGATTCAAATGTAACAGTGTGGTCTGGAAATGCAACCAGAACCTTAAAAAACTGACGATGGACCATGAAATTACATATATATCCTCAAAAATCACAATCAACAAACAGTCAAATAGACAGGGGACCAAATTGTGTTAAAATTACAAAGTTAAGGACTTAATTGGTTGAAATTGAAAGTCGAGGACCAATTTGTGAATTTAGCTATAGTCGAGGGGCCATTTTGGGTATTTACTCTATTATAAATGTTTTGTAAGAAAATCTACTATACTAATAAGAGCCCAAGAGAGTTAGGCCTATAATGGACAGAAAAAATGGCTGTCAAATTTTTTAATCAAATAAATGGCTCAGATTGATCAGATTTTAATTTTTACTTAATACTAGTATTTGCGCCCGTGCGTTGCACGGAATGAATTTGTTATAATATTTTAAAAATATTTAGATCGATATACAATTGTATAAATTATAGCATCGAATATTATAAAATATAATTGAAGAATTGAGTTGCACCGATTATGTTTTCTGATGTTATCAATACTTGAATTCGAGTAAATAATTGCCCAATTAATAGTTAACGTGTAGATATACGCATTCGGTGCTGCAACTTTAGAGATTTTATATATCAGTGTTTATAATTTGTATTAATTGGACTAATTAGCTCGTTGTCTAGCAACTCAGTTATAGAAATTATTTATACGGAAGATATATTTTCTATGTAGATATATAGCAATTTTGTCATCTTTGTATATAAAAAACCATAATATCAATAACTTGAATTATACATTATTGAAAATCTCTTTGTAGACAACATTGGTAGTAGTAACAGAATTTTATCCATCCTCGTCTAGAGTTAAAACTATCAGACCATCAGGATGGATGACTCGGGAAAAATTCACATACAATAAACTGTGATTAAAGACGAGTTGTTTTAGTAATAACTCAACGTGAGTTAGTGTTTGACCCTGACTTTTGTTGATAGTCATGGCATATGCGAGCATCAACGTGAATTGTTTTCGTTAGAACTTGAATGACAATCTCGTATCAGAAGGGCGAAAGACATTTTAATTGAAGATTTTACTTTTATTAATAGTATAAATATAGATTGGTGTAAATAATAATTAATAAATTATTATTTTCTTATAAAATTACATATAATTTCAAATGAATTTTCTCATTTATTACGCAGAATTTGTTTCCATTATTCTCACAATTATAATGGTTTAATTATTCTCAGCATTTGATAACCATCATCCATTTTTAAGTACACATTGACTTCAATGTGTGATAAAAATTCATTAGATATTAGTTAATTTTCATATAAAATTTTGTTACCAATTAAGCTTTATTAATTTTTTTTTACCAATTAATTAATATTCATATTCATTTGGGCGGGAATGTTGAAGATGATAATTTTACTTTTATTAATAGTATAAATTGGTGTAAATAATAATTAATAAATTATTATTTGTTTATAAAATTACGCAGAATTTCAAACGAATTTTCTCATTTGTTACGTAGAATTTGTATCCATTATTTTTATAATTATAATAATTTAATTATTCTCATAATTTGGTAACCATTTTTTATTTTTATATACATATTGACTTTAATCTGTGGTAACAATTCATTAGATATTAGTTAATTTTTATATAAAATTTTGTTACCAATTAAGCTTTATTATTTTTTACTAATTAATTAATATTCATATTAATTTGGGTTGGGATGTTGTAAAGGAGGATTTTACTTTTATTAAAGTCATTTCACTAAGAACTTGGAGGGGTGTGGTTGAGTGGAAGGGACGTATCCATCCTTATTAACCAAAGGCAAGGATTTGATCATTGCCTTTGTGAATTGAGCAACTTTAAATCTCCAGGCCAGCCCTTTCACCCAAAAGAGGGGCATTAGTCACTTTATCTAATCATATTATATTAATTTCATTTTGAAATCATTGGTTCACATATTTGATTTATTTATTTTTTCTTTAATTATTCTCGTTGTAAACATAAATGATATTGCAATAATTAATTTATAATATTTATCAAATTGTATTTTTTTTAAATGTAAAATTTTCTCATGTTTAGGAATTAAAAATATTTTAAAATTATTTTTATTAGTAAGTATTTTTATTTCTAAAATATTTTCCAGCAACCCAAACACTCCCTTAGTCTCTAATAAAAAACTGAAAAATAAAAGTTATTTCATTAAGAAAATTAAAACTAATTAAAGTAAATATAATCATGTTATATTTATTTGTAACTGTATATTAATTTCATTTTGAAATCATTGGTCCACATCTTTGAATTATTTATTTTTTTCTTTAACTATTATAAACAAAAATTATGATATTTATCAAATTGTATTTATATAACATTTACACATGTTATGAGGTGTTAAAAAAATTTCAAATTATTTTTTATTAGCATGTATTTTTATTTTAAAATATTTTCCAGCAGGATAAACACTCCCTTAGGCTCCCATAAAAAAAATTGATAAAGAAAAGTCATTTCATTAAGAAAATTAAAACTAATTAAAGTAAATCTAATCATGCTATATTTATTAGCAACTGTATATTAATTTCATTTTGAAATCATTGGTTCACATTTTTCAATTATTTATTTTTTTCTTTAACTATTATAAACACAAAATTTGATATTTACCAAATTGTATTATTAAAAATATATAACATTTACACATGTTATGAGGGGTTAAAAAATATTTTAAATTATTTTTTATTTGTATGTATTTTTATTTTAAAATATTTTTCAACAATCCAAACACTCCCTTAGCCTCCCATAAAAAAAAACTGACAAAGAAATGTCATTTCATTAAGGAAATTAAAATTAATTAAAGTAAATCTAATCATACTATATTTATTTGTAACTGTATATTAATTTCATTTTGAAATCATTGGTTCACATATTTGAATTTGTTTTTAATTATTATAATTTATAAACAGAAATGATATTGTACTAATTAATTTATGATATTTATCAAATTGTATTGTTTAAAAAATATAAGATTTACAAATGGTATGAGGGGCTACAAAATATTTTAAAATTATTTTTTATTAGTAAGTATTTAAAAATAATAAAAATTCCACCAACTCAACACTCCCTTAGCCTCCCATAAACAACTGATAAAGAAAAGTCATATCATTAATGGAATTAAAACTAATTAAAGTAAATGTAATCATGCTATATTTATTTGTAACTATATATTAATTTCATTTTGAAATTATTGGTTCACATATTTGAATTATTTATTTTTTTCTTTAATTATTATAAACATAAATTATATTGTATTAATTAATTTATTATATTTATCAAATTGTATTTTGTAAAATATAGTGTTTTACTCGAGAATTTTTTTTGTTATTATGAATTTAAAATTAAATTAGACAAATAAAAAGATTTTAAAATGTACAATATAATAATATAGTTGGACTTTTATATATTTGGTCAAGTATCTATTTTCATAACATACAAAATTAAAATTAAAATATTGTATGGTTAGTATAATATCTAATCATGTACATATTTAGATAAGTTTATAGAAAAAATTTATAAAATTAAATTGATTTATTACAAATTATATTTCATATATATTATAATTTCAAAAATATTAATAATAATAACTAAGAAAATTGTACTTATAAATCAATAAAAATGTAAATTCTAAATTTTGTATGAATAAATATAAACTCTAATCGGACGCATATCCTTATATAATTAAATAATACATTGTATATACACATAATATTTATTAATATGTATATATAAAAATTCTATAATATAATTTCATTCATTATAATTTGTATTAATAGATTTATATTTAAAAATTTAAAAAGTTGTGTTATATTTTCAGTAAAATATAAACATATTCATTCGTTTTTCTTAATATTTCATTTCCTTTTGAGTATATTCATTTCTTTTTTTTTTTCCTTCATAAAAAGAATTAAAATTTATTTCTATTCATTTTTCCTAATAATTGTCGATTAATTGGTCTGATTTCCATGTCGATTAGGATATTAATAACGGATTTCTGTTTGAAATATTCATTTCCTTTCTGATTAAAAAATAATATAATTATAAAAATATAATTACTGATTATATTTCTAATAAAATATTAATATATTCATTTCATTTTTCCTTCATAAATAATTAATATAAGTATAATAATTATAATCATATAATTACTGATTATATTTTAAATGAAATATGAGTATATTCATTTCCTTTTTCACTCATAGAAAGAGTTAATATTCATTTCCATTTCTTTTTCCTTCATAATTTTTTCCTAATATTTCATGTGGTGGTTACTAATTTTTTCGTAGGGAAAACGGTGTTATATTTCCAATAAATTTTTAATATTAAATCTTTTTTTCATTTGGCTTGATTCCTGTGTCTATTAGTAACAAAATATTAATAATAGATTCTCGTGAGTAAAATTCATTTTTTCTGTTCATATTCATTTCCTTTTTCCTTCATAAATAATTAATATAATTATAATAATATAATTACTGATTATATTTTAAGTGAAATATGGATATATTCATTTCCTTTTTCATTCATAGAAAGAGTTAATATTTGTTTCCATTTCTTTTTCCTTCATAATTTTTTCCTAATATTTCATTTGGTGGTTACTAATTTTTTTTTGTAGGGAAAATTGTGTTATATTTCCAATAAAATTTTAATATTAAATCCTTTTTTTCATTTGGAATGATTCCCATGCCTATTAGTAACATAACTAGTAGTTGCACCCGTGCGATGCACGGTCCTATTATTATGTTGAAATATCATCAAAATTGTTTTATTCATTATATAGGTTGAATAAGGTTATAGAAGTGAGAAATACAGAAAATATAATATTTTATTGATAAGTAAACTAAACAATTACAAATTATTAAAGATTTCTTTATAAACTACATTTTGGGTCTTGTTTATAAGACCTCTAGATTCCCCACAAATTAAGACCTTAAGACCATCCGGATTACTGACTCGAGATACTGCAACATATAATTGGCCATGATTAAAAACAGGTTTTTTTCAATATCAAACCCACATGTGAAAGCGTCTGACCTTGACTTTTGTTGATTGTCATTGCATATGATAACATAAGCGGGAATTGCTTTCTTTGAAACTTGAAAGGAAGTCTTGGGTCCGAAGGAGTCAAAGATAGTCTGGGTATCAGAACCTTTGTACCTGCGTTATTGCCAGCTATGATTTTCCCCTCAATAACATGATTTCCCAATTGTGTTACTATTAACCGAGTACCATTGCACAACCCCATCGAGTGATCAATATTTCTCAACAGCATAACTGGAGTTCCAATTTTCAATGTTAAAGAGTGGTTTGGTACACCTGAGCACCTCAGACTATTTAAAAACTCTGTTGTGTGTACCTGAGATTGCATATCAAAGTTTGTCTCAGCCTTGCAAATAGAATCACAACTCAAATATGTCCTTGATGCAGCTTGATTAATACCATTCATGTATTCATTGACCTCGTCAACAACATCCAATGTTGGAGCTAAAATAGCTCTATCCTCTAATTGTCTTTCATCCATGTTGCCAGAACGGTATCCAGGGAATGTGTTTTCCACAATTTGTTTTATTGGATCAACCTCATTCTGTAATACAATGGAAGACGGCATTATTATATTGCAATCAACATTGTTGTCTTCACCAAGATTACCATCACCTAAATCCGCAATCCACTTGGCAAAACTATCTAACTTCTCCAAATCATCTTCATCACTAACACCGCGCAATCTTAAATTCTTCGTTAGACGAAGAACTTCACAATTATTCCACAAGTAAGATGAATTAATGCTGGCTTGTATTATATCTTGTCTAGTACCTTTGGGAATAACTGGTAGGATTTGTCTAAAGTCTCCACCCAACACCACAGTTTTCCCTCCAAATGTCATTGTTGAGCTCCTTGAATTTTTGAACCGCATTAAGTCTCGCATTGTGTGATCCAATGCTTCAAAGCAATGTTTGTGCATCATCGGAGCTTCGTCCCAAATTATTAATTTGGACTTGATTATCAATTCAGCAAGCGGACTGCCTTGCTTTATGTGGCAGGTTGAATCTTCATTAACAGCAAGCGGTATGGCAAATCTGGAGTGTGCAGTCCTACCGCCAGGCAGCAGCAAAGAAGCTATTCCGCTTGAGGCTACATTAAGAACTATCTCTCCTTTGGACCTTAAAGCAGCTGAAATTGTCTTCCACAAAAATGTTTTTCCGGTTCCACCGTAACCATATACGAAGTACAATCCACCTTTCTCATTTTCAACATCTCCAATCACCTTATTATATATGAGTAGTTGTTCATCAGTTAGTTTCGGATGCAATAAATCATGTAGATGCATTAGAGCTTCCCTATCATATGACATTTCCTCTAACAACAACCTATTACCACAAATCCAATCATTGTTTCCATCTGGCATTGGCATTGGTGGGTAATCTGATAGAGATTTGTTCCAAGCATTCAACAATTTCTCCATTTCAAGCAGCGCAAAATTCTTTTTTTGAGATTCATTCATGTTTAAATCTACAAAATAAAAGACAGATGTACGATGTAAGTCTTTTAAACAGCAATTTTAATAATAATATTAAAATAAAATATACCTGGGACTGATAGGTTCCTTCTATAAACATATTCAGCATCATCTGATAAGAATGGCCAAACCATCTCCCAAACATTTTCTGGTTTGGCCATCGAACTGGATGTTAGAAGTGTAACAAACAACTTCCGTAGAGAACTTGCTAAGGACCACGTTGATGCCTCCGTGATTGCATCAATATACTCTTTATCATCTTCAATTAATCCCCGGGCATAACACGCATCTCTAAAGGAATTGTATTGAACACCATCCACCTTTTTAATCTCATCAAATGAAGTCGGTCCACGAACTATATTAAGTAAACACCTAAGATAAAAGATCTCACCAGTATTTGGTGGCACATAAAAGATTCGCCCAATTGCCCAATTTCTTTGCCTAGGTTGCCATTCTCTTTTATCACTCTTCCAAACAAATTTTGTTGGCATTTGTGAATAAGTCAACTCCCTCCCTGCTGCATACTTTTTATTAGCTTCAAACCAGGCAGTAAACATGCTTTGAGCTACTGTTGGTCGATTCACCACATCATCGACCAAATCATCGTCATGAAAAATTATTGATTGCTCATTGGGAAGATGGAAACTCAAACGTTCAACAGATGGGTTCCTAAATTGTATGTCAAAGCCAAAAATCCTCCACGCAGCCTCAGGGGGTGAAATATATCTACAGTCATAGTACATTTTGATTTCATCTACAATTTTCCCCGTAGATTCTTCCACCCCACTATTGTAGAATTCAGCTGTTACCCTATCATTCCCTTTGTTGACGTATTTGAATAAGTACTTAATTGATCTAGATTGGTTGCACCACTCCACATTAATATGAGCCTTGTACTTCATAAGCAAATATCTATTGTGTGGCACAACATATCTACTATCAAGGTTAATACCATTCTTCCGTACTGTACGACCATTATCTCGACGTCGATATATTGAATATCCATCAAAATCCACTGTTGAGTTTTCCACAAATTTTTTGGGGAAGTATTTAGAGCAAATACCATTTTTCATGCAAGGTGAATTCTTCCTCGCTGCACCACATGGACCGTGAATCATAAATTCTTCTACTGCTTTATAATACTCAGGGTCGCACAATTGACTTGGAATCTCAGCAGATATGATCATGTCAATATCTTTAGGATTAGGATAAGAGTTACTCTTGCTCAAGAATATCAAAATGTGTGCATGTGGCAATCCCCTTTTCTGAAATTCAATGGTATAAATAACTGCAAACACGGGAACTGTGAAATTAGACCCCAAATAAATTGTCTATTTTTTTAAGCCTACAAAACAATTATATGCAAAAAATTACATTTATTAAATAACAAAATTTACCTGCATCCACCAGTCCAAAAATCTTCTCCTTTTTAATATCTTTTATCAGTGCATTTAATTTCATTTTAAACACACGGCAAACTATATCTGGCCTATCTTCAGCTTTCAGTTTCCTTGATTGTAAAAATCTTTCTATCTCAGGCCACTTAGGATTACATGTGAATGTAATAAATAGACTTGGATACCCTATCCATCTACAAATCGCCATTGCATCTTGGTAATTTTGCACCATATATCTCGCACCTCCTGTAAAACTCGATGGCAAAATAATCCGCTTTCCTTGGCAGTAGGATCTACTTCACCACGTGTTAGTGCATCTGTCAAACATTTGTATGATTCACACCTCAATGACTTTTGATGCGACCTAATATAAACTAACCGTCCTGATTCTATCATGGTATAAGCATCAACCAAATATTGTTGAAACAATCGTCTAGCATATAGCAATGTTGACATTTCATTGAGCCGATCTTGCAAACGGAATGAAAAATACTCTCTTGGGCTAATTTTAGTTCGTGCATTTGAACTCCGGCCTTGCACATTATTAAACTGTATATCGTCCCTGTATCCGTCCTCACCGTATGGAAATAGTAGTGGATATTGCATTGGTAGATATGCTGGATTTAGTTCAGTTATTCTTTGAAAATGACCCGCTTGAGACTCCACCAGTATATCTCTTTCTCCCATGTTTGGATCCAAATCACCAACAATCAATGCCGCAACCTCCCCAACTTGTGGCAAGTTATATGTCCTTGCATCCGTGGTCCTTTTACCAATGAGTTTTATTTTAATATCCACTCTTTGATTACTTTCCATATTTGTTTTCGCCATCCTAAAACTCTTGACTAAAACATTATTTTCATCTAGTGCATCCTTGATGTCTTTCACAATTTCACGATGAATTGTATTTGTTGAATGATCATCCCTGTTTGGCAAGAAAAAAAAGACAATTTCATAATCTAAATATATAAGCAACAATGCTCATTTATTTAAATTAAATAAGCGTACATAACTTACCCCAATAAAGTTAGACGATTGTCTATCTCATGTTGTGTATCATAAATATACAATTGAGCAAACTTTGGTCGTCCACCAGACTGTGGTAGTAAACTACCCATTAAGTGAAAGTTTTGTCCATATAACCTAAAAGTCGGGGGGGCACCACCAGTGTTAACAGTCCTGTCAATTTTCCCACCCATGGATGTAAAACAAACATATTGTTGAATGACCGAATATTCTTCAAGAAATGGGTACTCTTTTGGTCCTGGTTAAAGAACAACTGCCTGATTGCCATAGGTGGAATATTAGGAGGGGACAACTTTATCTTGCCATGACTGCAACAAAGTGAATATTTTGGATTTCGAACACCGCTAGATTTATTAACTCGCTCCTCTAACCAAAACATTGCTCCGCAGTGTTCGCAAGAGTACGTTTGATCACCCAGATCGTTGTAATAATCTAACCAAAAAACAAATGTTAGTACTCCAAATTTAGATAATATCTACAATTAATTGTATCTATACTCACGATCTCCAATTGTAGATTTTGATGGTGTATCATGGACCACACTATTAAATGCTGACATCAAACCACGTTGCATTGAAACATCTGGTGATGAGATATTGTAATCAACAACGCACGACCTTGTTGTTTGATCTAAAAGATGAAATGAAAGTTTAATATTCATATATGGATTTATAACAATCTACTTTCTAAAAAGATTTATCATGTATATAGAAATTTTACCATTTGTATGAATATGCCAAGGTCCTCGACTTTCATAGGACACAATAGGGTTACTTTCGAGCACGTTAGCTTGCGATGTCGTTGATTGAGTAATATTTTGTAAAACTATTAAAAAAAAGGTTTGAAATCTCAGATCCAAATTCAAAATATATAATATACAAAATTAAACAAATATACTTTTATTGTAGAAAATTGTTTAGAAAGACCTCTAATTTTTCCGTTGGCTAAACGTTTTTCAGTCTGAGATGTTGAATTAACACATGTCAGCTGAGATCTAGCAGTTGCCGATTGTATTGCATACGAACACTCTAAACAACAAAATTACAAAAACCACACGTTAATATGTATAATAAAAATAATTAAAATAAAACTCACTATACCAACAGACTGACATTTCATTTAAAATGAAAGCACTAACCATCCAAAAAAATTTACACCCGGATTTTTGAATGTTGCATTTTATGTTCAATAAAACAATAAATTAAACAGTTAATCATAAAGCAATGCATATGGGTTACATTTGCCACATTAAATACACTAAATTATAGAAAAAGTAGAATTTTTTTTTTTATAATTGCCCAAATTCAAATACTCCAAACATAACACTCTAATCATTTACTATAAATTAAGCATATTAAATATATTAAACAGTAAAACATATCCAATAATGAGAACAATTGGCAATATTTAAAGATATATAATGATTCATACCATTGTATCCGTTGAAAGATTGTCCTGAAAGAGTTCTGTAGTGTGTACCAGTTAGACGGCTATTATTTTGAGGTGTTACATTGACACACGTAATCTGAGATGTACCACTTGACATTTCTATTGTAATTGAATTGTCTAAAATAAAAAAATCCAAAATGTTAACATTATTATAGTACACTATATATAGCACCGACATTGCAATATAGAAAGAAATTAATTACCAAAAATCGCAAATCGTTTTGGCGTGTTGAATGTTCCATATTCCGCACCATCATTTTCTAACATACAAACCAGAAAATACTTATAAACCAATAATTAAATAAGTAGTAATATGATCATCTTAGTAGATATAGTTAAAATGTACATGCTTATTTAACAAAATTGATTTAACAAACAATTGTATTTAACAATAAATTAAATGAAATACAATGTTTTATTTAAATATAATAAACACAGTAAATAAACCAAATTTAACAGATATGAATATCGTACTATAAAAAAAACATATGTACATATAAGCATACTAAAATAGTATATTTCACTACCAATATAGAATTTAACCATAACTTAAAACTCTACCTCTCTTTCTCACTATATATATATAAAGGTATATATATATATATATATATATATATATACCTTTAAATACAGCAAATCATTCCCATATACGGAGTATATACCAAAAAGGAGTATATACCAATACTATATATATATATATATATATATATATATATATATATATATATATATATATATATATATATATATATATATATATAAACGTATGAGTCAACTGTGGAAGGGTCCAGAAATATGCTTTCTGGACACCCTTCGTCACCACGGTCACCGTTTCCTGTCTTCTACCTCTCGCTCTGTCCATTTCTCCCAAACTCTATCTATCTATTGTATAAATCCAGATTCGATAGACGCTAATGGCGTCGAAAGCTTGAATATGATAATGTTCGCAATTTTCTTCTTGATTAGAGATCCGACGCAATTGTGTTGGGGTTCGATTGATAGCTACAGAATTGGGCCAAAACCCTATATCTACGGTGAGGCTTAGTCGTTTCTACGAATTCAATCTACAGAAACCCTCAATGAGTCTGAGTGAGCTATGGATGAACGCAGTCGTTGACATTTGCAATTGCGTCCATGTTGAAATTAGGGTTTTCAAATCATGGAGGTAAATCATCGAAGGACTGTAAGTAACCTTCGTACTCACGCTGACCTAATCTCTAATATTTTTGCCCCAAAAATTTAGATGTAAATAGAATTTCAATTCGATTTATGTATGGTAAACTGCATGCGTGTATTGTTAGGGTATTGAAGTAAGAAAACTTGCATATTATTATTATCTGTTGCACTTGATTGTTTGAAATTTCAGGCTCTAAATTTTAGCTTTCCTAGAATTGATGATGAATAATTAGTACAAAATTAACCGTACTGTATGCTTAACCTTGTTCTACAGATTTTAATTCACCACTTTAAATAAACACAAATTGATAACAGGATACACAGTATGAAATTGCATGATAAGTTTTGATGAAACCGTGACAGTAATATAAGTTTTGATGAATTCTGATCAGTAACGTACCTTTATTTGAAACTGTATCCTTCCTTTTGGTGCCGATTACAGTTGATTTTGTTAACTTCTTCATTGATTTGAACTGCTCAGTGCTTTGTGAATTCTTTTTTGACAGTAGTGAGTTTATTTGAAAAGAAAGGTGTAATTGAAAAAGAATGGTGTACTTTGCATTTAAATGTGAATATCTGACTATATGTGAGTGGAAACCATTAAAGGAAAATGAAATTCCCTAGAATTTGCTATTACTTTATTAATTAATGATTACATCTATTGGGAAGCAGAAAAGACACAAATTTAAAAGATTGGATTTATTCCCAGATTTATCCTGCAATATATTGTGTTGAAGTTTTGATTACAATTCCAAAACATTAATAGATGTGTATTTTGTTTTCCAATTTGGTTAGCCAACTTTTATTTTTGGCTGCTCAGTATAATTTTCTCTTTATTTTCTGTTTTTGAATAGACTTCAAAACTGTTATAACTCATTTACTCAATTTCTAACACTTGTTTGCAAGCACCTGGCACATGATGATAGTAATATCTGATGCACTTAGATTTCAGAGTTCCCATGATTCTATGGCATACTATTAAGCCTTTTGGAGCATGAAACAGTAGCACATTGAATTAAAGTTACAAATGTCAGTACAATACCTTTTTTTTAATCTCAGTTTATTTCTCTTATTATCTTCTGTTTTTGAATAGACTTAAATTCTGATATAAAAAATTTCCTCATGATCTAACATTTGTTTTCAAGCAAATGGCAAATGATGATATGAATTTCTGATGCCATTAGATTTCAGAGTTCAAATCTTGCCCTAGGAGGACTATTAAACCTTTTGGAGCATCAAACAGTAGCAAATTGAATTTCCTTACTGCGAAAGACTACAAATGAAGGAGTTACGTTGTGCAAACTTAATTAGCTAAACCTTGTTGTCCAGATGTGTAAATGTTGATCTATTTTCTGTAATTTATTAGTTAGTGTCCTCTTTGAATGAAATGAAGGTTGCACACTTTGGAATACAATAACAGTTATAGTTGGAGATAATTAGTCATTATAGGAAAACAATTCATGTGTACCTCCATGATTTGATTCTATTTGTTTAGTGTTATAGTTCCGATAACTATACATTTTTTGTTAAAAATTTCAGTGTACTGCTTTATTCAAGGTTTTATAATAGTAGTTGACTAAGAATTAAAACTTCACTACATGAAAAGAGTTTACATATTTGCTTCTATTCTGTTTAATTGGTCTATTATTCAACTATTTGATTGAGCACTAAACTCTTTTCCAATATCTGATAAGAGTTTACTTGAAGTTAAGTAAATCCAGCTTACCTTTATTTAGCAAGGACAACTTGACTTTGAAATATAATTTTAGTCCTTATTTGTGATATTAGATAAAGATGTTTTCCTAAAGATAACTTTAATATGAAAATTTAGGAAAAGCAATGTATTTTAATTTGGTCTGTCTTTATCTTCCATTTATATTTGAATTTGAATTGTACTTGCATTTATAGTCCTATGAATATTGTGTAATGTCCTGAAAAGCCACTAAAGCTCAAATGGATTGATTGGAGTCAAATATGTGTATAAGGTATGACATGGTTATTTACGTTTTTTTATTCATTCAAATAAAAGAAAATCAATACAGAGATACAGTATTGGAACTGATATAAGTACAATTCATTTCTTTCAGGTGGACTGAAAGTTCAAGGAACAAAAGGGGACAACTACTATTGCTAAAAGATAAGTACATTATTTTGATCCACTGCCAGTAGCCTTCATTATCATACTGTTTCTTGTGCATGCTAACTGATCTCTGCTTATCCATACCTGAAATGATTTAGGAAAATAGACAAAGCATAGAATAAAGCATAATAAAGTCACTTATAACAGTATCATAAGAAAGCACTTATACAAAGTGCCTATTTTCTATGGCATACCTGCAATGATTTAAGAGAATAGAGAATCCATCAAATAAAGCATACAAATTTAGAAATAAACAGTAGCATAAAAAAGCACTTATAAAAAGTGCTTAATGTCTAGGGCCAAGCAGCATGAATATGTACTTGGAGTACATATTATAAGAATCCTGTTTAGAAAACACCACCAATTAGAAAATAATATGTACTTAGGAGTACATATTATAAAAATCCT